GGCGGACGGCGGGGGGCCGGTCGCGGCCACCACGATGCCGATAGAGCCGACGACGAGGTCGGCGGTGGCGGCCTTGAGGTCGCGGGCGCGCACACTTGCGGCCCTGGGCGGTCAGCTGAAGGCGCTGTCCGACGGGAAAGGGCCGTCGCCGCTGCCCGGAAGCCGAGACGAGGTTGTCACCGAGGGTGTCGAGCTGCGAAGGTGATGCGAGTCGTGGGTGGTCAAGGGGTGGCTGAAGCTTTGTGACCTATGTCTTGTCATGCTTTTTGTGGTGCACGTGAAGAGTTGTAAGGGGATATGCAAGATGGGATAAAATTTGGTAACAGGACCAGCCCACAGCTGGCTGCCAGAGGCGGTGTGACGTTTCCCAAGCTCAACACCTCACGTTGCTGCCGTGTTTTTGACTCGAAGAGCCCAGCGAACCTCGATGAACCAATATCAAGAATTACAGATCTGTGGTACGTACGACCTTGGAAGATGTTCGGGTCAGTTGGACCATTAGGACCAGCACGGACATCGGAAGGTGCCGAGAAGAGATGGGAACGGTTTGTAACGTAAAGACAGCACTGATTGTCCTTGAATCAGGGAGGTCTGTACACTTTGCGGAGATTTTACCCGCGCGTAGTTGGTGCGATACCTCGGCTCTTGGAACATCTTCGGCCTCCATTGTCCCATTCATCCAACGTCGACGGCGTTACTCCCGTGCCTGGTTCTTACGTCCAGCTGGAAGGAGCTGTCGGGCTCGGAGCTACAGCAGGCTTCAACCACTTTCCATGAAAACTACGCCTCGAAGTCTGGTGGCAGCGAGGAAGCCGAAGCGGCGTCCTGTGGTGGTGTTGAGCTGTGGGAGCGGTTCGGCGCGCGGTATTTCAAGGGGACTCTCAGCATCAAGCAGGATCGTGGGAAGGAGAGAATCGTGCATGTGCAAGTGGAGGTGCGATGGCTGGTAGAATTGAGTACACCAGTATATGTGGGATTGCCCCTGTTGCACGATTGTAACAGTAGTCTTAGGGTTTCTCGTATATTTTGTGATGGATGATCGTGGCCAGGACGTTTCTACAATCCCGGCTGTAACACAGTGTCGAAGGTGCTTGGCCGTGATTGGTAGATGGTGCAAAGTTCGGGTTGAAGAACCTACGAGGAATGGGTTGCCGAAGGAATGATTCTGCGTGACCCCTGCTGGCACGCCCCCAAAGCGTGCCGACAGCAGATTAGTAGATAGCCGAGCGTCCAGAACAGATGGGGATGGGATGGGATGGGATGGGATGAGCACCGCTACGGTACGGTTGATGCGTTGGAGCTTGGTGCTTCCTGCCACAGCCGTCACGGTGCCTGCGGTGGGGTTGGTATACACAAACCGTTGGCGGCATGCTCATGTTGGGGATGATACCTTTGCGTGTCGTGGAGCAAGGGTTGTTTTTCATCTCATGGTAAGATGATGCCTCTGGACGCATTTTCCGCCTCATGCCTCGTGATAAATGAGTGGGAGTTTGCAAGATATGCTGGATAGCGGTAAGCCGCATCGTGCGACCAATGGAATGCGTGCAACGTACAAACTAGCTCGTGTCACGGGATCGTGAATGTGCCGTGGAAGCGTGTGTGTTGGTTGGGTGTCGGGGTCTTGATATCTACCCTTTTTGTCCGCGTTGTGTGGTGTTGGTTTTCTTGTGCGTCTTGTTTTGTTTTCGTGTGCCCTTATCATAAGGTTCCTGCGGAGTATCCCCTCCGACCATCTCTGATTAGCTTGACGGAGGATAGTAAGCCGGATCCTGACGCCGCCGGCGACGCTGCTCTGCGGGAGGAGCTATGCACGGTGGCCAACGAGGTAAGCGTTTGATAGGCGACAGACGCTATTCAAAGGTAAAAAGTGGTTATCGTGCCGACGTGAATGTTGTCGTACATTGCGCGTGTTTTTGTGATTATTGGCAATATTTGATTTTGGTGTTAAGAGGACGAGTGTCGGGAACCTCCTCCTCAGTACCAAGAAAAACAAGTGAAGCTTAACGGGCAACCCAGAAGGAAAAATGTTGATGTTTGTGGTGCCGGACGGTGACTTCTCTTGTTGAAGGTTGAAGAAGGTTTGATTGAGCAGATATTACCTGGCTGCAGTCAACTGTTCATCCACTACAGTTGCTACATGTAGGCTGGGAGTTGAGCACGTCGCTTATCAGGGTGGCAGCAGTGGGGCACGCACAGAGAGGGCTACGCTACATCTTGACCATCGACGTTAACAAGACGGACCGTTGGACCGATGCGGATGACAAGAAGTGTGGAAAAAATTGTAGGGTAGCAAACACCCACAGCGTGAGACCGTTCCGCTGATGCTGTGCACTGCTTGCCGCGCACTGCTTGCTGTTCAGGTTAACGCCCACTACGACACGCTACTAACGGAAGACGTTGACCGGTGGGACCACCTGCTGTCGCACCAACTCCTCCTCGTCATGGAGTGCCTAGCTTCGAAGGCCGGTGAGACAAGAGACCGGTGACCCGTATTTGAGCAGGAACGGTGTGGTTTACCGTGGGTTACTATGTTCCGTGGGTGCCGAGTTGCCGGGAGAAAGCTTTTGACACGAACGAACCCATAGCGACGCAGTTGTTTCTCGGTGACGCATGCAGGTTCGGCTTTTGATCCGTCGTCACCTCGTGATTGTTCCCTTCAATGGGCTCGTTGCTAATACGTATTGTGACGCAAGTGTGTTTATCCCCGCTCTTGTAGTAGCGATACAGATATCCACCACGCGTGTGGCTTTTAGTGGTTACCACGCGTTTGACGCCATGATGCGATGGAAGATAGCCCCATGAGCATAGACTACATCTTTTACAGTAGACGCACGATGTATTTTGCCCGACGATCGCGATCTCCTGCGCACCAAATCTGCCACGCCTATTGTTCCAGCATGCTCCGGGTGCTCTCATTTGCTGCAGTGGGTTGTTCTGTGTCTGAACCCGCATGTGTATTTCGCTGTTCCCTTGGCCCCCGTCACCCCACGTGTTTGGTCGTTTCTAGGCACCTTGGGCAGGTTGAGAAAGGGGCGCATGAGGCGCAAAGCTGTGGTGTTCGAGCACCTAGTGAGGAAATTCGTGGACAGAGGATCGTTACTCACCGCGCGCACGGACACGAGTATGATGACCTTAACCCCGATGGAGATGTAATAAAGCCGTAAGTAGTTGAATGATGACGGCGGCAGGCAGGCGGGCGAGATGGGGATAACCGTAGCCGCAACGCCTTCCGCTCGTTGTCGAATTGTCGAACACACCTTACCGTTGGGTGTGGGTTGGTCCTTTTGAAACCCGAAAGAGGCGTGACGACGTTACGCTTCTGCTTGGGGCTCACGCTGCTTCGCGTAAAGCAACAGGGTTGGAGGTGGCATGGCATTTGTTGGCGCCCGTGTCCGAGGGGCAATGGTCAACGCCGGATGAGGAGCGTTATAGAAGAGCGTGCGGCGTTTTTTTGGCTGGGGGGGGGTTCCATTTGCTCGCTTCTGGGCCGTTGACGATTCTGTAAATGCTGAATTAAGACGTTGAAAGGAGGAGGTCGTCTGGTGTGACTTTTGTCTCTAACGGTTGTACTGGATGTTGAAGGATGTGAGTTGCTGTCCGAATCTGCCGGTTCACGCGCTGATTGGCCTGGAGCATTTCCAGACAGGTTGAGGGCGGGAGTAATTGGGTTGGCCTTGTCGTCGACGATTTTGTCCTTTGGTTACTGGCCCGGATTTTGGTGCAGTGAATCGCAACCTGTCTTTTGGTCGAAAGTGGGAGAGTTTTTCGGCCTAAACTGATGATGTTCAGGCCCACCAAATTGTACCGGGAGTGGGTGTCCACCACCTCACCCCTCACGTCTCAATAGCGCACCACCTTCTTGGAAGGCGTATAAGTGGTTCCTGGTCCGATGATGCTGACGGGTCATCCCGATAGGGTAGAGTTACCGTAGTAACCTCGTGAGCCTTGGACGCTGAGGGGTGTGGGTTCGAATCAATTCGGAGCGATAGCCTAAAGTTGTAAATTTAACACCACCCGTGTTTTCCTCCCTCGTGCGCGGCCCCAGCTGCATACGTAGTGCATCAGGCGGCTGCGAAGGTGTAGACTAGCGCTCAGATAGTAGTCTACAGTAGATGGCACGAGAAACGGCAAAGGCCGGAGGTCACGCACCCATGGCGTACAAGCAGACTATGCACGGATCGGAGAATCACACCAAATGGCAGGGAAATCAAGCCTACGAAATTGGTGAAGAGCGTCTTTCGAGAGGGAAGAGCTTGAAGCATTTGCCCCACAAACGAGCGATATATCCCGTAGGCATATTCTGGCGTCGTCTCTTTTGCGCACAACAGGAGCCCAGGTGTACGAGGTAGGCCGCCGTGTGAATGCTCTAATGGTCTACCGCTGAACACCCGAACACGCAAAAGAGCCAGTCTCACATCTACCGCGGCAGGTGAGCTGCTGTACATACCGGCGTGTTCATGTAGGCCGCACACTCAATTTGATAAGCCGTGAGGAAGAGAGGGAACACAGCATATCGCCCATCGCGGATCTTTGTGTGCAGGCAGGCCCTGCATTCTGAAGATTTGGACTGCTGCACCAGGAGACCAGGCACCAGGAGCATGCAACACCGGGCAGAAAGTATAAAAATTGAATTCGAACTCTGCAACCCGGACAGAGGCTGGTGTGTGTTGTTGCAGTCTGCGGGGCTCCTTACAGTCCCGACAAGCCAGAAGCTCAACAAGCACAGCAGAGGGTCTCGCTAGTCGCTATCATCCTACCGTGCGTTCACCGGCGATGTACTAGGCAAAGTCAGTAGAGAAAATTGCGTCTCTGACATTGAAGAAGGAAAAAGGAGCAACCAAAGCACAGGAGTGTATTCCGGTAGGACCAAACAAAGAGATTGTCCTTCAAACGTTACGGACATTCAAAACTGTTCCAGAGTGTGCTGCCCATCCTTGGTCTTGTCCTGCCCGTGGTTACTACTGCTGTAAGCCGAAGACCGGGGACAAAACGTCAGCCTGATGAAAGAACGACTGCTGTTCCACCTGCGTCTCGGCGACAGCTCGAGCCCCCTCGCCAGAACAAAGTCTCTGCTTGATGCTAGCGGCTCTGGAGCTAGCAGCTCGGGAGGACCGCCGGCGGGACGCGGTGCAACAACAATGGCACGTTCGGCGGCGGAGAAAGAAGACGAGCGTCCACCTCATATCGTTTGCACCTGTCTTCACTCAAGCGTGTCGAGTGCTGTTGCGGTAGGGTTCGAGAGGGGAGTTGTCCACGTGTACTACAGGCAGCACGAGGACAGGGTCAGGCGGAGCAGCGAGGAGGAGAGGTGGAAGCGCACGGTCATCTACCCCACCCGGGCCCTAGGAAGCGGGGTCGCAAGTCCGATCGAATCACCGGCAGCTGCGGCGGTACCACCGGACATCACCTGCGTTGCCATTGCTCCTGGCGGAGGCAAACTGGCCGTCGGAACTTCGGATGGCTTCGTGCTCGTCACGCAGGTGCGTTGGTTGTGCCTTGCGTAGGAGCAATCGCGTTTCTCACAGCAGCATTTGATAGTCTAGTGAATTGGCCTTCCGGTACAACATGTGGATCTTCCCTTCGCAGTTCACTCAGCAGCAGCAGTTGGGAGGCAGCAGACGGGTATGTGCTTCAGACCGACAACAAGCACCGGTAGAGCTACAGCTAGAATTTCCTGTGCATGCGGACATACCGCATCGTCTATTGTGTCTGCTGTGGAAGTATCGTATCAAGTGAAGGACGCATCCAGCAAATTCAGCTCCTGGTCCTGGTGGAAACATTCGTTGACAAGCGATGTCTGTTACAAGAATGATTGAATCTAAGCACTGCTGTATTTGGTACCTCCAAGTATATCATAGCATGACCACCACCCACACCGACGTTGTTTGCATGCACTACCTACCCCACTGCTACCTCCGCTCGTTTGCCGTCCGCGTGGGAACAACGACCACCTGCCGAAACACGCAACCGCTGGTGTTGCGATATCGTCCGTCTCGAAAAAATCTACCACCTCCAAGGCTCCTCCGCCACCCACAGGCGGTAGCCCCGGCACGGGGTGGGCTAGAGGGTCAGGGTTCCACCACAAGTCCCACAGGGGCAAGCGCATCAACTGCCTTCTCTGGGACAACAGCGGAGACCAGCTGTACTCCGTATGCGAGGGCGGGACCGTAGTGCTGGCGAGGAACCTGCGGCCGCGACGCGGGGCCCCCGCTGCGGGCCCCGCTGGGATAACCGGGGTGGTGAGTGAGACCGTCATCTGTGACGATTGCTTTTGCCTCGCTGGATTGCGGCACTTTTTTCTTTGTTTTTTTCAAAGAAGCGTTCGGTTCGAATAGCGCCCCCCCTTTGCCGTGCCCTCCCCCGTTGTTTGCCATCGGGGTTGGGTCGGGTTTTTTTTGGCGGTAACCATAATGGTGGTCGAGTAGATCACGTTGTGCGGGGTGGAAAACCCTCACTCCGCGCAAGGGGAATGATCGCACCACGTTGTGTTAGAATGGTCAAGCACCCTCGAGGCAGCTACACAGTGCTTACAACTGTCTCTGGAAGTGAAGCACCAGAAAATAAATTAAGTCATACGCAGCTGTCATCCGTATGCAAGGAAGTAAGCACAAGATGCCGAACACCCTTAGCAGGATGCAGCGCACCCTTCATGCGACTCGCCGAACATCTCACGGCGCTTCGCGCTTGGTGATGTGAGAGCCTGGTCCGGTGAGAACCCGGCGTGCTCCGTCCCGGCTTTGTAGGGATGCAGGGTCAATGGTCTAACGACTACGGCATGCACGATTATGAGTACCCCCCCCCCCTTTGCCGCGGTCTGGTGATACTACCAGGTGCGTTGCTACAGCCCCGGGTCCAACGAGTAGGTTTGATCGCACAAGAGGCGTTGTATTTGAAGGTGTACCCGGCAACATGTATAGATACATCGGGTTGTCCGAGTTGAATTGCCACATGGTCCGACTGCCGAAGGCGGCCGCCGTCAGCAACGGACGGCACCGTTGTGTGTTGTGCGAGTCTGTTACCCAAACACTTGTACCACGAACACGAAAATGCTGACCGAGCTCGCCTCCCTAAAACTCGTGTAGAGTATGCCAACATCCACACGTCACGTCTTGCCCTTTTATCTCGCCTCACAGATGCAGTTCCTTGGCGTCCATCAGCCCGACAACTCCAGCACGGCCGACACCCCGGCATCGCCCCAAGCCATCGTCGTCGGCCACACGGGGTCCCCGGGGGTGAGCCTGGATCTCGGTCGGACTAAGGCCTCCTTGCCCGGCACGACGAAAGGGTTCTTGGCGTGCGACGTGCTCCTTGTCATGACCAGGAAACAGGCGGTGCTGTTCTACTTCGCGGTCGGTGAAGATGTCAGGTGAGGGATCGACTTTTTTTCCCGTGTGGGTCGAGTGTACTTGCTTTGATGTTGTCGCCGCCGTCATGTCGTCGTCGTTGCCGATGTCATCGTCGTTGCCGCCATGGCCGTCGTTGTTGTAATGTTGTGGTCGTCGCCGTCATATGTCGTCTTCGTTTTAGTTATTTTGTGGTCGTTGCTGTAGATTGCTGCCGTGTGGTGTGAGGGTCCTGACAGATACTACTGTCTCCAACTTCCGACAAGTGTCCCTCGTTGACAATGAAGAAGCTGTGCTTTTCTACCGCCCGGAGAAAGAACATCGACCTGAACCTCAATGCGAACTTCTCCCGACCCCCCTCTCCGCTGTCGCCGTGATACTACTGCAGCATCTTCGCACCGCACAAGACCTTCGTGGACCTCAACGTCGTCGACGACTCAACCGCCAACACGGGACAACCAAGCGGCAGCAACAACAGCCGCACCCCACCCCCACCCCCGCCCCCCTCCCGGACGGACTTCGGCGGCTGTCTCTGGGGCCCCGCGCAGATGCCAGGCGTCGGTGGCAGCAGCAGCAGCAGCAGCAGCAGCACGTCATCCTCGGCTGTGGCTAGCGGAGGTCGGGGACGGAGCAGCGGCGGGATAAGAAGAACACCTGAGAGACGAGAAAGCTACGAAGCGTTGCCGGCGGCGGCGGCGGTGGCGGCAGCACCACGGGCAGTGCTGTTCGCGTACGTGGCCCAGCCGGGGGGAAGGCTGTGGCGTGTCGGCCTGTCGGACGGGGAGGTGGAGTCGATGCACCGTCCTCTTGGCGTCGATGAGGGTGGGGGTGGCTTGCCGGTGGAGAGTGGCGTGGAGCTGGGGGAGATGTGGGCGGTGGAAGTTGGAGATGCACGGGTGAGAGAGGGAGAGACAAGAGGTAGACAGAGAAGACAGAGACGGAGAAAGAGAGAGAGACGAAGAGAGGGGGGAGAGAGAGGGAGAGAGAGAAAAGTCAACGATATTGACGATACGTAGTGTGCCTCTGCACACCTTCAAAATCTGTGGAAGCACGCGCGAGCAAAAGTTCAACAGGTAGGTAAGGCTCATTTGCCATAACTCCTCCTGACTCATGCACGAAGATAGTGGGAGAGCTAATGTACGGTACCCCCATCACCCAAGCGACGCGTGTCTAAGTTAAGGTTACGTTGTGTGTCAAAATTCTTCCCACTACCGCGCGAAGACCAACAGACTACCGCACGCCACCTAACACCACACTATACGTTGCATATCCTTAACCATATAACGCTAGACCGAGGACCAGGGTTCGATTCTTGTCTCCTTGCTTACACGACCCGCAGGCGCTTCTTTGCTGGAGGAGCGGGTTTAAGTCGAAAAAGGGAGGCGAGTTCGCCCTGCTCGACCCCAACACCCACAGCTTCGTGGCCGCCTGCCCGGGGATGTCGGGCACCGTAGACGTTTCGGGCTTCGTACTATCACCCTTCTCGCAGTCGGCAGGCGGCGGCTCTCTGCAGTCGATCAGGCAGCGCTTGGAGGTGCTGGGAGGGGGAGTGCGCGTGCTGCACGGCGGAGACTTGGCCAAGGTTACGATGCTGTACCACAACGCGGAGGGAGTGGCGTGGAGCACGTCGAGCAGCGAGGCGATCGAGGGCTGGGGTGCCGCGCTCTCGGCCGAAGAAGCCGCTAGGACGGTCCAGCGCGCCTGGAGAGCGACGAGGAAAGGCGGCGGCGGCGGCGGCGGCGGCGGCGGCATGGCGGCGGACACCGCAGCAGTGGAGGGTGGGGATACCCCCCCCACGGCGACGCGGGACCCTCCCCTCCAGTTGCTCATGCCGGGCGATTTTCCGCTCCGTGGCAGGGCGGCGGCGGCGGCGGGACCGGCGGCACCGGCTTCCTCGCTGCCGTCCCTGCGAGATGTGGCTGCCGGTTATCCTGACTCTAGCGTAGCGGCGGGTCTTCAGTTGCAAGATCAGGCGGCGACCGCGCCCGCCGCCGCCGCTGCGCGCGGCCACCGAAATCGCGAAGACCGGGATGATAGCGGCGGCCGGGTTCCGAAATCACTCCGTAGTGGAAGCGGTGGCCTTGGCGGTGGCAGCAGCCACAGAAGGCGCGGGGCGAGGTCCAGGTCGAAGAAGTTTTCTGTCCGCGACAGCATTGAGGCCCTCGATGCCGCCGACCGAGCCCTGCAGCTCAGCTCTCACGCGAGGCAAGCCAGCTCCCCGACGTCTGGGGACAGAGGAGAGGACACCTACTGGCCGACGGACGAATCTTCGTCTCGCTCCCGCAGGATGGGCGGCGGCGGTAGGGGTAGCAGCGGAATTCCCTCCGGGAGCGAGAGCGACGGCGGCGCCAACGCCATGTGCCGCGCCACCGATGCTCTCATCCGGCAGACCTGGCCCGTTCTTCACAGAACCGGGTCCCTCGAGAACCTCGCGCTGCCGCCGGACTCGCCTCCGTTCCACAGTGCCCCGGCGAGCTTCCCCACCGATGCTCGGGGCAGGGCGGCGCGAGCGGCGACGCTGCCGGGAATCACAGCGGGGGGGAGGGTGGATACCGAGGAAGAGCACGCTTTGAGGCAGGGCAGCGAGCAAGGGAGGGCGGAGGCGGCGACCGCTGTGACCGGTTTCGAGCACGGGGGGGCTGAAGAAAGTAGTAGGTGGGAAGAGGAGGCGGAGGAGGAGGAGGAGGCCACCGCCGTTGTGTCTTCTCCTACTGCGGAGCCCCCTCCTTCGGCCGGCTGGAACAATGATGACGGGGTTGACGAGCGGGCGGTGAGTAACGGGGGGTATGAGAATTCCCAGTGTTGTTTTGCTGGTAGAGTTTCTGTGGTGTAGAGACTTTGAATGCTTCGGGTGTGGGCGGACAGCAGCCTTTACCCCCGCCCCCGGTGTTTCTAAGCTAACAGGCAGGATTTTTTTTTGTGCCTGCAGCAAGGCGGTAGGGCTCCTACACCTGTGGTGACCGTGATTAAGGCTGACTGTACTTACACACAGCATATGTCGCTGGGTTTCACTAGAAGCCTCGCACCCGCACGCTGACAGATCGGGCTCCTTAAACGCACGGACTAGCATCCCGGCAGTGTCTTTGCGGCGGCCACGAGCTCGAAACGGACACTAGAATGACCTCTTTTCGCCAGCGTCACTCCTCATTGTACGTCCACGTTTCTCACTCCGTTCACGTACTATCAGGAGCGAGGTCGTGGCCAAAGCCTCGCCGGTCGCGAGACGGGCGGCCTTGACCGTCAATCATCGTCCCTTCGCTCGAGCATCCCCTTTCCCAGGGGTCCCGTGGGTGCGGAAGTCGGAGGTGGTGGGGGTAAACCCTCTCGCGGGACCGGGTCTGGTTTTCCCGTGGGGTCCGCCCCGGCACGCCCGCGCAGGAAGTCCTCTCCCCCTGCCTCCCAGCATGGGAACCTTTTCGGCCTCGGCACTCTGCTGCAGCGGTCCGTCCAGGTGGGGTCAAGGCTAATATTTGCGCCGTGCGCGTTGGGTCAGCGGGGGATACTCGTACTCATTGTTGTTACACCACTGACGTAGGAGGGGGGGGGGGGGCGGGTCT